TTCTATGGAGTTTCCAAACCATTCCGCTCCATTAAGTATGTTTCTACCGACTTTTAAACTCATTGTTCGACAGAGGTTTATTTGACAAACATGTGAAGCTGAGATATACGGAGGGTTCAGGAACAACTTAGAGCGGGCTGGGATATTCGGAGGGCTAGTGGAAAAACCACGGGATCACTAATTTTTATGCAGGGAAATAGTGAAAGGGGCTTATAATTGAGGCAACTATACATGYCTTTCTTGTATTAACAGGTCTCTCACTGGAGAAGGGAACTTCAACTGGAGGTTYATCTTCCCATTCCAGTACCAAAAAGCCGAAGAAAGAATCGTCATTACACGAAAGGTAAACAAGTTTAGTATTAGATATATTAGAGGTATTCGATTAGCGAAGCCAAAATGCTGTCGTTCGAGTTTGTTTTCCATCCTCATCGTTTTACCTGAATGGAATTACTGCAGTTTCGAATTCTCTGTGGTTCAGGGGTAGCCTGAGCCACAGATACATTTGTGTGTGTGTGTGTGTGCGTGCGTGTGTGTAGAATATCCACGTGTTCCAGTATAATGATGAAGTTGTGCTTTCTTTACTTTACTTTTCTACACTGAAATGAGGCTAACCCTGAGCAAATGAGCCTGTAATAAAGAAACACAGCGGTATTCTTCGAATCTGAAAATAGACTAATTTTGTACTTTTCAATTGGTAGCCATATTGGATGGATAAACAAAAAGAATCTCATTCTCAGGAATTTTTCTATTTCAAATCCCCCCACTTTTTTTTCTGAAACTGTGAAACTTTCAACGCAAATATCCTTTTGCTTATAATTTCTCTCAGGCGAGTTTCTTCTCATGGGATGAGTCTGAAGAGAAAGTACCTGCTCGACTCCATCTTCAAGTGTGGGATGCTGATGCCTTCTCTGCTGATGATTTCATTGGTTAGTTCTACTTTTGTATTTTGAATGCGCATGCGCGATTTGGACCCTGAGTATACACTGGTTTAATACTCAATCAGAAAAAAATATTTAAATCSAGGTTACTGTGTAGTTTCACACGGTTATTCAAATAGACCTTTCCTGAATTTGCATGAGTGACAAATATTTCGTTTTGGCAAGAAATAATAGATAATACTTACGGCCAGGGCTTGGTCGTACGCAGCCTGGATAGCGCTATCCGGCGGATAAATCCTTATCCAGTGGATAAGTCGATGCTGTTTTCCAATAAATTTACCCACTGGATAAGATTTATCCGTTGGATAGCGCTATCCAGGCTTCGTACAACCGGGCCCTGGCCGTGAGTTTATCTGAAATACCTGCTGCTCTGTCYTCTGACGACCCTCTGACCGTTTATCTTGTGTTATTTCAGGTGATCTGTGTCTGGATCTAACGCGCATGCCCAGAGGAGCTAAGACTGCTAAGTCATGCACCCTGGATCTGATGAAACAGGATGGCAGTATTCCCCAAGTGTCATTCTTCAAGATGAAACACATGAAAGGATTCTGGCCGTTCATCGTCAACACAGACGAGGAAGTTGCTGAACTTGCAGTAAGTAAAACTCCTTCTCGCTATAGAGGCTTTATACCATCACGTGATAGAGCCATGACAGGAGGCAGAAACAATTGAATCTGATGTTATCTGATTTACACGAGAAAGAATTCTCGTATCCTCACTGGACTCTGAAGATGACTTCCGCTCAGGTTGTCGAAATATCAGTCACCACCAACAATAGTCTTTATCAAGACTACACTCACCCGGACGATTACATTTCACAACAAACTTCAACACCTGGGTTCAAACCATTTACTCTTAGAAAGAATTCAGTTTCCAATGGGAAAAAGTCTCTATTGTTGTGCCACCTGTCATGGCTGCCATCACGTGATGGTGCAAAGGCTCTATAACAAGTACGAACAAACTCAAATAGAGCGATTTTCTTATGAGTGGGAAACGATGCGACAATGCAGCCGTAACTAAGCGTTGTGGTTGGATGAATTACTAGAAGTTAATGTGAAGCCATTTTAATGCTACGGCATGTGATACCGGGTATGTGCTGTAAGTGATTACCGTACGTTTCCCACTTATGCAATAACCATTTTTATGGGAAGCCTTGCCGCTTCTAAATCTGGGATCTTTTGCATGTATATTCTCATATTGTGTATTTATTTTAAAGGGAAAAGTGGAAGCAGAACTGGAGTTGCTGACTCAGGAAGAAGCCGAGAAGAAACCCGCTGGACGGGCACGAGAAGATCCGCAGGCTCTTGAGAAGCCAAAGTAAGRAACCAATSTTKAAGTTTTARAWATGTCAGAGTTTGGRATTTGGACGYTGGGAAGTGGGATTTGTAAAAAAATGGGTGGGAAAAGGGATTGGCACCCCGTCCTCCCACGGAACTCTCTTTTGTCTTCACTCTGATGGGTAAAATAATCAGACGGTATGTTTCTATTTATCGCGTAGTCGTCCTGATGCCACCTTCATGTGGATGATGAATCCCCTCAAGTCTCTCAAGTACATGTTGTGGAACAACTAYAAGATGTGCTTGCTCAAGTTCCTGGTCATCGGTCTTCTCGTTGCTCTCATGGGACTCTTCTTCTACTCTATGCCGGTTAGTAGTATTAGTAGTATTGTACAATACATCCAACTAGCTTTACTAGTCATGGGATGCCTAGAGATCCGTGGTTGCTTGGTATCAATGATAACACCGAGTCTCATTACTAGCCTACGATGACATGCTAACACTGCCCGTCAGGTGTTATCAACCTTACAGTATCCTAGGCTTGGTATCAATCAGCTGAATGAATCTTATAAATCTCATTAATTATCGGCCTGTAATGACTGGCAAACACTGCCAATCATATGRCTGCATGAATGTCATTGCCAGGGCAAACACTGCCCCCCCATCCCCCATGCTCAGTCATCCATCTACATGTTTACTTAAAACTTACTACTCTACTTTTGAAGATTCCATACTAGGGTCGAAATGACGTCAGGTGATAGCAAATCATTTACTTGTTTATATTTTTATTTTCCAGGGCTACACGGTCAAGAAAATCTTCGGGGCTTGAACCCCAGTCATCTTCTCAGTCTCCTCAACCAACAATTCTTTATTTAATTCGCTATATGCAGGGCATATATTTATTTAAGATAACCAAAAACAATGGGAAATAATTTCTCAAAGGGACAAAATCTAACTAACACATCGTATCCTTAACTGACTTAAATCCATTGATTGGGTGTCTTATGTCCGCCATAATTTTGTCGTTTGAATCGAAAAATAATTTCAAGTTAACGCATCGTGCTCCACACAGTCGCTATAAGTTTAATATTATATATCACATATATATATATATATAAATCAGAGTTATTTTTTTACGTCAGTAAAAGTTTTCGTTTTGTATTTTCAGTTTTATAGCTAAGTTTATTATCGGTTAATTTTCGTAAATGTTTTTTTTTAATCAAAAAATTGTTGGCCGTTTTTTTTACATCAAAAGAATTGTCAAGGGTCTGTTTCTGTTTTTATTGGTCTTTCTTTAAGAAATATTTATTTCACAGATCTGATTGGCTGAATAACCGTGACGTCACAACTGCTTCGGTGCTATCCCATAGTGCCTTCTGGTCGTTCRACGCAAAAGCTATTTCCCTCCAGCGCAGTAAGGTCGCTATGATTAACTCGGAAAGATATTAAGAGTATAATGATGCTTTTAAAGCATTGATGCTTTCTCCGTTAAAGATACAAAATTATATATTSTGATTCTAAAGGTGATCAAATTATCAAATTATAAACCTCAAGAGAGGTGGGAGTTTTTTGTAGATTTGGGTCGTATTGCAACTTCTAGGGGAATCTAATACCACGCTGCACAGTTAGAAGTTAGAACCGATTTCATTACGACACGCGACTTGTCGTATACGTCAAAAAAAATATTCCGAAACTATTGCCTATCTATTGGTCGGGTTTTGACCAATAAAATATCAGCTTTTTGTTGCAAACTTTTCTTCCTTTCTACTTGCAGAATGCCGAGTAAGTGTAGAGGTATAGCAGCTAAATCATTCTAGAATATACTCTTTGGATTTTWATTGATGGTGCTTGGGTCACAGAAATATTTTGAGTGATCCCATTGATCTTAAAACTCCAATCTACTTCTAATAAACTATCAATTCYTATTAATATAATTTGAATATAATCRTGGGATACTCGTTTCAGCTTGTGAAGTGTTTAGTTGCTACAAAACGTTGTGCGTTCGAAGCAAAGAAAAAATCCTCAAATTTGTTCTCCAAATTTTTATTTGTTTTTTTTATATTTCAGTTGACAAATGAGCGGCAGAAAGCATGAGTAACAGATCCTTTTTATAATTGTAATAATCATATGCAAAAAAGCACTTAGCCTCTCTTATGTGCATGGAAAATGTGCAATATTGTTTCATTGCGTCATTGCAAGGCTTGGTATTTTGCAGATGAATAGCACATTTATTCAAAGGGTCCGTGGGAGTGTGCTGATACGATGTATATACAAGGAAAACGAGATGTACTCAATGAGTTGTACATAGAAAGAGCCTGAAACGAGTATTGGTTAATAATCAATTAATTATTAATTGATTGGTTAATATTGGTTAATAATCCTGTAAGACTGGGGACTCGAACAATTGGGTAACATATACGACCATCATTGGATATAACGTGGGGTCAATTYAATAGTCTTAGTGGTAGTCTTTCAAGTTATCAATGTTTGGTTGGCTATCCCTGGGAATAGAAATCAAGTCCTGAAGCAGAATTGTTGCATTTGATTCTAGTTATTCCTAACTCTTTTTTTCACTGATTATTCTCAAAGATCTTTTCACTCCATGCTTATCATCGTCGGTCAAAAGTAATGAATCTGTGAAGCAGTGGTCTTAATTTCAAAAGTTAATACCAGCGTTTCATGGATTTCTYGGGATTTCTTTCGCTTAGGGATAATTGAACAGGTTACCCAGAGTTCATCTAACTTAGTATTAATAACAGTTATAAACGTAGAAAAAGGTTACCATATGCTGTGAGAACAAATAAAGTGAATTCAAGGGAATTTTAGGTTGTTTGATTTGAAATGGGAATGCATTACGCCCAAGGTAAAGAAGTCTGTTATCCAACCATCCAGTTTTGCCGGCCCCGAGGACAGAGTAGAAAAACGACAAGGCTGCTACTTTCGCAAGTTTTCTCTATCTCTCATTCATGCTAAAAAACGTTTAGTGTTCCATTCGTGTCTCTCATGCTTTAAACTTTTCACAAAATTCTGCTAACCTCGAGGTTATTCTACTTCGAGGTATTAGCGAAAATGTTAGTTTTGTGTTGATCAAAATATCATCTCTGTCAACGTTCAGGCCGTTATATCTCAATACGCATTCCCTCTATATAGAGGGGAAGGGAATTTTTTCTTAAATCGCTAAAATGGTTCGAAATCACTACTAAAGAACTAGAATGACGTAAACAACACTTCATGTGAGTAAATATTAGCTTTTGTTTATTTTATTTCTAATTTTTTTCGTTAAATTACATTCAGCTCTCAAATCTTGTATGGGCTTCCTGTGCCATGACTTCATTGTAGGCTGGATCAGTGCTGTTATCCAATAATTTCATCCACAAAAGATTTATCCTTCGGATAGGGCTATCCACCCTTCTTAMRAACGGGCCCTGAAGCAGTGGCTGAAAAGTGCGAGATTCCACAAAATCAGTTAATTAGGTTTGTGACGGATTTAATGGATTTGTCATCAATTAGTGACGTAAAACCACAGGGTGACCAGTGACGGATGAATGTTTTGATTCGTCTTTAATTTGATTTCGTGTCGTAAAACCACCCGGCAAACCATGGTGTTGCTGCTTTACTAGTATTACTTTATTATATACTACATATCTGATATACTCTGTAGGGAAAGAAATTTCTGCGGACAGATTGACATGCATGGTCAGTCAATGTATAATACAAATTTGAATAAAAGAGAAATTTCCCGATCATTCTAGTGTTGGGACTCCGAACGTACTTTAGGGGTGATAGCTGAGGCAAGACTCAAGACCCTCACATTTATATTTCCATTTATTCAACGGTAGTTACTGAGTTATTGAACCAATTAATTCAATGCAATTAATTCATAGTTTTCCTGTTTTGCGCGCTTTTTTGTTAACATGTATTCACTAGAGCGCGCGACACCTTACTGTGCAAAGTAACAAAGAAAACAATCACCCAATCAATAAAAACAATTTACTTTGCATATTGTTACAGGATAAATATCTAATATTTAAATTATGCATTCTAATATAGAATATCTTTATTTAGATGAATTTTTTGAAGTACATTAATTTGTTACTTCTTATTTTCCTACAATTTTTGATTTCGTGAATATGACTCTTATTATTATTACTAGTGCAGTGAACTTTATATAACCTATCGACTTGTCATAGATGATTAATTTTCTAATATTATAAACTTTGAAGAAAGTAAATTATTTGTCTTAAAAGTAACTGGAGCTTTTAAAAGTTTTGGAGCTATTTTGCTTCTTTAGCGCCAACTACAAATCGGCCTTTACATCAGAATAATCCTACTTTTTGCTATGCGAAAACAATTTTCTGCTTTACAGTAATATAATGTTCGTTAGAGTGTGAATTCGAAGGCAAATATAGGCAGCCTATGAAGGGCGCCAGAGCTCGATTGGCGCACGACCAACGCGTGAGACAAAAAATATTTACAAGATAAAAATTACTCATAAATTAGGAAATTTTCTACAATTTTTTCTTATTGTGTTGCAATATTCAAATAAAATTTGGATTTTAGTGATGACTACATTAATCCAGTAAATCCGTTTCAATAATATGTTTGTTTGGTCACCCATGCATTGCTTGCTGCACAGTTTGATTTCTCTATGAATGTAAAATATTACTATCATTGGTGGTCTTTGATTGCATGACTTGTGCATTCAAAGTTTTGATTTCTGTTTTACATGACTCTACTATTAATGTCACTAATGGCATTCTCGGATCTTCATGTTTAGCTTGTAACGGCCATGAATTGAATTCTCAGCATCATGATCATCTCTGCTGCAACTTTCGTTAAACTTGAGTGCAAATTTTTTGAATCGAATTCAATTTGATTACGTTAGCGGCCTTATCTTCCAGACCCACCAACGTGGATTGAGAACTAATACAATAATTCTGAACATCGTAAATGTCGACATCACTACCACGAAGCTGACGTTGATTGCATTCCACTCAGACATGCTATGCACGAATGCTGCATACATTGCAACTGACAGGATATTGCCWGTCAAAAGTCCATAATAGATAATCTTCCTTGCACTGACTTCGCCAAATGCAATCCCACACAAAAGAAACGTTACCTGAGAAAATAAAAAGTGTTATTTCAGTCGTGCAAGATGATAAACAAAGCTTAGTTATATAAACAGTCTGACAGATGATTCGAATTCGTATAAACCATGCTTGCCAAGATGCACGTACTTGTCAATTGGCACTAGTATTTAATATCGTATTCTTAAGAAATATAAGCAAGAGAAACACTTCTCTAAGCTGTAATCAATTCTGAGGACTTCATACTTAATTAGTGTAATAACGAGTGAAATTTAAAAGGATCGCGTTGGCATGARCAGTGATTGAGCTACGTCAAGTAAAAATGCATGAATCTAGCAAAGTGGGAATTTAAAAGCCTAAGATATTTGATTTTCGAGCATCTAGCAGCATCTGTGCTTCCAGTTTGGCTTAAAATAGGCAAAAGAAACAGTAAACATGAAATTTAATATGCGATGTCGAAAATCTCTTGAATTACGCCTACTTATAGTGGTTTCCCTTGGACCCCCATCGACACCTAATCCGAACGGAATCATCTTTCAACGCTTTCACCTAATTCACAGATAATATATCAAGCCAGAGTTAAGTGCTACGGGGGCAATGAAAGGTCATTAAAGACATGTTAAAGGGGCTGGAAAAAAGATGGACAATTTGGATAGAAAAACAGCAGCATTAGTGAGTACTGTACAGTGCAAGCGTTTTTACCTGCATAATAAGAAGGCTGCCAAAAAGACGCAACATCCATTCAGCAAGTTCATTGATTCGTTTGTCATCCGCTGGCAGCATCTCCTTTAAAACCCGCTCGCTCAAAGCCAAATAAGCAACTGCCAGGACAGCTAAGAGAGTGATTTCCAGAATACTAACAAATGACCATGAAATACGAAATCTTCTGGGGAACACGGTGCATGGGAAGATGTCCCCGATAAATCGCGAAGGTTGTTGAACCTCGTATCTTAATGGCCACCCTCGGTATGATTCGCCTGACCCCGATGTCCGCGGACTATAGCCATTTCTCGTCGAAGTCATTATTTCGTATTTTAGTGCGATGTAGTCTCAATATACACACACACACCTCTCTTTACACATACATGCATATATTGTTTATACTCGTTCATCTACTACTCCATGTTCACGGTCAAGGAGACTAGCACTAGTGATGTCACAACATGGCGGACGAATCGTCACAAAATGAAAGCAAACTTTTCACAATTTGTCCAATTTCCCCCTCAAAATAACTCAAAAACAAAAGCGTTTCTGTGTCATTAAGGGTTATTGTTGTGTAGTGCTTTCCTAATGTTGTAGATATAAGGGATAGGAGTCGTTTTTAGCGGTGTTCTTGTTGAAACATGTCGTCTCATTACGTTCAGCTGTGTGCAAATCCTCTAAAGTTTGATCCTGTCAGTAAAGAAAACAGTGTGTTCTTTGACGAAGCTAACAAACAGGTATTCCTCTTTTATCTATTTTAAAGCTAATAAYATCAATAGATATTATTCATTAATCTTTGTTTGTATAATTTTCTGCAGTAAGTTTAGATATGAATTGTAGCTTATRTCGAAATCTAACATTGTCTTTTGTTTTTATTTATATAAAAGGTTTTCGCTGTAAATCGAGTGGAAAACATTACCCATGTCGTAGTCAAAGGACCAGACTTAGAGACAAAGATCTTTTTTGAGTAAGGAATACTGAAAAAATATTAATTAGATTTATTGATAATGCTGTACAAAGTTTGTACAAAGTACAKTCAAGTTTTGTTCTTGTTTTTAAAATTTCCTGCTCCCTGTTTTTAATGGGGCCGGGGGGATGCTGCTAATCCAAGTGCATATTCAGAGGGTCCTAGGGTGGTARTTAATTGTTATTGTTCAGTTGGCTKTGGGGGATRGCAGGGAAGGGGTGTGCAGGAGGTAGGGAAGGATTATTCAAAATAAAGGAAAGTAATTTTCCATTAGAAAACCTGGATGTACCTTTCCAAGCTATTCATAACTCAAGTTATAATTGATGGGTTGCAAGCATTTCCAAGAGAGTTAAAGGAAAAATCATGAACATCATTGTGGTGCCATTAACAATGGATGCTAACAAGAAATCTTTYGTTAAATTGCACCAGCGCTCCCCCGAAATGCCGCAATGACCTAACATGCAATTAAAGAATAGAGGTGTTTAACCATGGCCAGGTGATATTGAGAACAACTGTAACAGGCTATTGATGTTTTTTTAAGTGTTCCAGATTCAGGTCATGTACACTCTATTAAATTCTCATATGATCAAAAGATTCTGGCAATTCAGAGGTCACCAAARACAGTGGTAAATAAATATATGAAATATTTATATTAATAGTATGTATTGGTTAGAAAGCACACTGGTCATTAAAAACTATGCTGTACTGTATTTAGTGATTGTAGCATGGTTGTTGCTCATGCCTTTCCTGYATGCATGCAACTTACTTTGGGCTTTGCCATGTGCATAATGGAGGGGGAGGGGGAGGGGGAGGAAGAGAGGTTAAATCTAAATCTACGAAGCTTTTCGCTGTTGTTTCACAGCATTGGTCAATCACAACAGAGCTAGGCTTCAAACTAGGTGAAAGCCCAAAGATCGAATTAGAATTTAGGAGTTGATTTTTGAGGAGGGAGGAAAACTGGAGAACCCGGAGAAAAACCCTCGAAGCCCAGGAGAGAACCAACAAACAACTCTACTCGCATACAACATCGAGATCAGCAGGACTCAAACTTGGGTCGCATTGGTGAGAGGCGGTGCATTAGCAGAGCACGCCACTGGTGCTTCCCAGGTCAAACATAGTCAAACATAATAATTGCTTATTATCATTTATTATTGTGATATTTCCTATTCACTTTTCAGTTTTCAATAAATATTTCTATCTTTCATATTCAATGCAATTAAATAATTCCATTTAACTTTATTTGTACAAATTCATGATACTCATTGCCATTCATACTTTATTTGTGTAAAGGATTTTATTAATTTTGCTGATGGGATTGATAGTCAACAGTACCACCAAGCATGCAAGGTAAATAGACTACGTCCTGGTTTACAAACTTCTTTTTTATTTCATTCATAAAATAGGTAGGGTTTGAGAGTTCTGGGTTTCACTTTCCAGTTTTTATTCACAGTTTTTAGATTTTTTTTAGTCTCATTTCGGTTACGACAACCATTTGATTTTATAATTTTGTAGTTTAACAAATAATTTTACTCAATAAACAGCAGTTTGCAATCAGTTCYCATCCATCCATCTCATCCCTGTTTTCCTATTTTAGACTATTTATTATTCCCTTCATCACACCTTTTTTCCTCAACTGGTCTATGGCACACATCACATAATACATTGTATATTACGTATTCATGTGTGAATGGATTCTTTCAATTCAGGGCAAGTCAGCTCATGTTATTGGATTTAATTGGACAAACTTGAATGAAATAGTATTTATAACAAACCAAGGATTAGAGTTTTATCAGGTACCAGTATGASTGCTTGATATGATAAGCTTTTGTAACCCCTCTATATTACTACCCAGCAGTGCTACTGACACCTCTACCCTCARTGCTACTGACCCCCTCTACCCTCAGTGTTACCGACCCCTTTACCCTCAGTCCTGCTGACCTCTCTACACTYAGTGCTACCAACACCTCTACACTCCCRGGGGGTACTCTTKCCTGTTTAGGGTAGGGATGTGCTGCTGAGCCCTCTGAAMCCTGACCCTCTTCCAGAGTAAAATYGCTGAAATTTATACCCTGTTCCAGAGCAAGATCGCTGAAATTGGTACCCTGTTCCGRTATTGCGAAAATGGATACCCTGTTCCAGAGAAGGGAGGGCGTGATTTTTTATACCCTGTTCCAGAGTAGAATTGCTGAAAACCATACTCTGTTTGGCGGCACATACCCATATAGCCAATATAGGGGAGTACGGGAGTACCCCCCCCCCCCCGGGTCTACACTCAGTGCTACTTACCCCTCTACCCACAGTGCTACTGACCCCTCTACCATTAATGCTGATTTATGATTATGATGCCTTCTTAGACGATGTTGCAGTTGACCAAGATGATAAATGTTGTATTAATGTTTTTAGGTCATGCCAGAAAAACACAGCTTGAAAATGATCAAAAATTATAATGTACAAGTAAACTGGTTTGTGTTTCTGGTGAGTGCTATAATTGCCGGTATCGGGTATACTTGTCGTATCTCTTAGRGGTAAAAATCAGTGATATGGTATCTTTTAGGGTGTCTCAGCACATCTTGGTATCTTTTAGGTTATTGTTTAGGGTATTTCTTAGGCGTTAAAAATTGTCCAACCACTCCRCCTTTTTTCAAAGACTTTTGGTATCTTTTTGGGGTATTTTTGAAAATTTCTATCAAGCATACCCAATACATTTACCCAGGAGGTATTGCTTTATACATGTCTGGCAGTTCATTGGGTACATTATTGCCAGGTTTTAAGTTTTGTTTCTTGATTCCAGCCTGAAAGTGCCATGCTTTTGCTGTCCTCCTCAGGRTATGGGAACATTATACACCCATATCATTTTAGGGTATGTTTAATTACCTGATATTCATTACTCTCATCTACTGTCCATCCAATCCTTCCAATCAATGTATCTATCTATTATTCGATTCCATCCCATCCCATTTATTTATAAATCTAATCCTTTGATTTATCCATCCATCCTATTCATCATGTTTTCTTGCATCTTATCCCATCCCATCTCATTTATCCATCTAATC